TTATTACATTTTGTAAACTAATAATTCTATGTTTTGCCAAAATCTGATCCCCTGTAAAAGACAACCAAAAGTTTTTGGCACATTTAACCYTGAACCAATTATAGCACTTTGAAAAACACTGTGTTCATTTTATTAAGATAAAGCCAGCAAACATTAAATAAATAAATAAATAATAAATAATGATTTTCAGTGGTTTTGGAACTTGTTAAAACTCATTTTTTTTAATAAGTTATCACTGTATGTTAAGCAGAAAATGTAAAAGTACATGTTTTTTTATTATTATTTTTATTTTTTTTATATCAAAATAAAAACCTGAAGGTTGGTTTGCATCCTTAATGCCTACAAAATACAGACTCGCTCTTTGTGGAATATTTTCAATGCAACAATTAATCTTCAAGGATATTAGTTGAATTTGAACACTGCACTCAAATCTCCTAACATTTTACAAGGAGGAGKATTTACATGGAGATTCCATGGATTRATTTATCCACATTYGGTAAAACTAAGACCTGTGTGTGGTCTGAACTACCTCTTTAACATGTGATGCCGTAAAGAAGAATATTGTACTCTCAAAGTTCTGCTATTATACTTGCTCAGTAGCTTTTAAATTGTCTAAAGAGCAGCTAGTTTTCACTCATCAGTCAATTTGTTTTTGTATTTTCGATATGTGAAACACTTAAAAGAATAATAGATCAACTCCAGATCTGTGGCGTCTATTTTTAAACTCCTAATTTACCTTTAATTATGTACTGAAGGAGTTTAAAATTTTCCTGTTCAGAAGAATAAAATGTGTAACTTCATTTATTTTCAATTTACTGTGATTTATTTAGCTCCAGCAAAAAAGCTGATTTTTTTTTCTCACAAACACTGGGTGCTACTTTTCTCAATGCTTCATAAATCGAATATAATCAACAACAATTTCATTTAATAAAACATAAATACAGAAACTATTAAACCTGACATGTTTTTGTGTCTCAATGAGTGGAATAAACCAATTTAGGAAACCAAAGTTAAACTGTGTATCTCTCTGTGTCATTATGTGTTGCAGCCCGTGTGTGTGTGTGTGTGTGTGTGTGTGTGTGTGTGTG